GGCCGCAAGTTGTTTTGCAAGCAAGCAACCACCCACCTCTGTTTTATGAAATACGGTTTTATTTTGGATTGCACCCGCTACAAGGACGTGCTGGGTTGCTCGACGTAACGCCCGGAGGCCTATGGGCCGCCCAGTCCAGCAGCCCGGAATCCACCCCGTCCTCTTCTGAAGCCCTCCTAAGCTGTGGCCATGGCCACCTCCCCTGGAAGCGAATTCCACAGTTCCACGCAGAAATCCGTACCTGCTCCGCGAGAACTATTTCCTGTTGGCGGCTCGCCTCTTCCATCTGCCACCTTCCTGGGTGACCCTGGATTCCAGCCCATTTTCTCCACCCCGTCATAACTTTATGCTGCTCCATCACACGCGCTCTTACTCAGATTTTTCCTGAGCTGAAGAGCCCAAATGTTGCGACCTCTCCTTACGAGTGTGGGGGTTGCTGCAGCCCCTTCCTCATTTAGGCTGCTGTTTTGCACAGTGCGGGGGCCAGAAAGGCAAACAGTATTCCAGCGGTTGCAAACCGAAGTTGCGCGTGGGCATCATGATACCGGCACGGTGTCATTTCCATTCACCTTTTCACAACAGCTGCACCCTGGGCCAACACGCCTCGTTCTGGTGCCTGCTCTCCCAGCTCGAAGAAATCCCTTTGGAGCATCTCGCAGTCTATTTTTGCTTTACGCACCCTGAACAGTTTCGTGCCATCAGCCAACCTGGCCACCTGGCCGCTTGCCGCTGGCTCCAGAAACCCTCCACCTTGTAATGTGTGAGCACCCGTGATTTGTCTGGGATGAAGGACACAGGATTGTTGCCATCTTCTGTAGCAGGAGAGCCTTCCATGGATCTAAAGGCGCGGCCCTCCCTCTCCCACGCGGTCTTCTCCTCTCTGGGCCGCCCAGGCCGCGTCCCTTCCACCCTCCCTCTGAATCCCCGGCTCGCTTCCCAGGGAGCTGCTGAAGGGGGCCTGAGCGGTCCCCTTCCAGGCTGCAGTGGGAGCCGCTGTGGCAGGAGATCCCTCACGTGGCAGCTCCCAAACGAATGCTGAGCCACAGCGCGTCGGTGGAGCGTATTTTCCCTGAGCGAGCCACATTTTCCTTGCAGAAGCTCTCTGGGTCCAGACACCCCAAGTCCCGGCACCTGGGACTGGAAGGTGAGCTTTCAGGGAGGGCAGGGCAGCATTGGGCACCGTGGATGAGTGGGGTTAGGCTGGCTTGGGACCCGCCCCACCCCCCGTGCCAGATTTGGTCCTTGCTCATTTATGGCATCTTCCGCAGATGGACTTTTTTGTGTGTCAAGGCGGGCCAGGGTGCGCGCTCCTGCCAGCGACGTGAAATGGTACAGCCCTCCCTCTTGTAGCCGCTGCACCGCACCAGCCGCCTCTCCTGCATGTTCCTTGGATTCTTGGAGGTCAGGAACCGATATGTCAGGATGCCTTCCGTGTGCAGCGTCTGGAAACTGCCAGGGAATTCCACCTCCACTTGGCCCTCATCCTTTCATCTCCCCCCCTCCCCTCCCCTCTGCCCACGCAGCCCATATGGCACACATCCATCTCCTTTGGCTCAGCTGCATTTGCAGTCGGATTTCTGGATCACGCTTGCTTGCTTGCTTGCTTGCTTGCTTGCTTGCTTCCTTGCTTGCCTGCTTGCTTCCTTGCTTGCCTCCGCTGCCGTCGGCCCTTGCAGAGAATGCGAAGTGCGATGATTTCACTGGCGCCGAGTGATGCATTGCTATTTCTGCACAGCACGCCTTGGCTATGCAAACGACCTCATCCAAAATATGAAGTATGGTGCAATAATGCATAAAACATTGGCCCCGGAGTCGGTTATTTTGAAGAGCGATAAATTATGCAGGCTTCATGGAACTTTAAAGAAGTCTGTCACTGTGGCAAATCACGGTCCCCCAGGAGCTGCTAACATAACCCCCCACCTTATGATTTGTGACTATTTCAGCAAATAAAAGTTCCAAATTCACTCAAAACAGCCTTGATCTATCTCTCTGTTTGCAAATGGCCCAGTGACTGACAGCTTATTCTGAAAGAGACAAGGTGCCAAGGCAGGACAAGCAGCCCTGCGCAGGGAGACGCTCTGGTGGCGGGGGGAGCTGGGACCCTCTTGCAGCCTGCAGGCCAAGCTCTGTGTCCAAGACGCCGTCGGGGCCGAAGGCAAAGGGGCCAAAGCACCAGAGCTGCCGCAGGATTGCAGCTCACAGCAGCCAAACACAAGGTCACCAGCGTCCTCCCGATTCCCCCTCAAAGCTCCTTCGGGCTGGAGTCCTCCTGGGACCGCGAGGGGGCTTCCACCTTTCCCGTGAAATCCGTGCAGGTTTCTGCGTGTACTTTTCCTGGCAGGCGCACCCGTGGCACGTGTTCTCCTCCCATTATTAGGGTCTGCTTGTGCACCGTCAGACATGCTGGACGATCCAGTGCTCGGGGAGGGGCAGGGGAAGGGCACCCGCCTTCGCAGGGCTGCAGGCGCAAGACGTCTTGGGCTGGGAGAGTGAAAAGCAACTGGGAGCGGCTCCTTGCCCGTTCCGGACGGCCGCACTCCCTTGGAAAGTTGGGGCCTAGCCTGGGCGCCCTTGACCCGTCCCTGTCGCCGGGGCCCCGAGGGGCCACTAGCTTGTCGTGCCTTCTGCCATTCCTGATCGGCCTCCAGCCAAGCCTGCCCTGGGCAGGGACAGCCGGCTTGCGCGAGCCAGCGCGGCTGCGCTCCATGAGGGGCGGCCCCTCAGGCTGCTGCGGAAGCGGAGCCCGTGTGTGACATGGCAGCTCAGCCGTGGCCAGGATCGGTCCCTTCGCAGCCGGCGGCTCCTCAGCTGACGGGACTCCGCGGGCTATCCTGGCTCACCTGAGATGTTAATCTCAGTGTATTACTTCCAAATCACAAGAAGTAGCAGTTCCTCTATACTCCTCCCTAGCCAGACCCCACCTGGAGTCCTGGGTCCGGTTCTGGGCACCAAGATTTAAGAACAATGCAGAAAAATTAGAAAGGGTCCAGCGGAGGGCAACAAAAATGATCCAGGGTTTGGAAACTCTGCATTATGGGGAGAGACTGAGAGAACTAGGCATGTTCAGCCTTGAGAAGACTGAGGGGGGACATGAGATCTCTCTGTAAGACCCTCAAAGGCTGCCACAAAGAGGGAGGTCAAGATCTCTTCTTGCTGATGCCGGAGTGCAGGACACGGAATAATCAAGTCAAGTTGCGACAACCCAGATTCAGACTGGACATCAGGAAGAGCTTCCTCGCGGTCAGAGCGATACGGCAGTGGGACCGGCTGCCTGGAGAGGTGGGGGCTCTCCCACACTGGAGACATTCAAGGTGAAATAGGCAGCCACCTGAGTGGGGTGGTGTGACGTGGTGTCCTGCAACAGCAGGGGGTGGACTGGATGGCCTTCTGGCCCCCTCCAGCTGTGCCGTTCTCTGATTCTATGACTGTATAAGCTCTGAGCAACCCGGGACTCGGATGCCCCCGGGAGCACCTCCTCCCTTACCCCTTGCCCAGTCACAGAGGTCATCGAAGCCCAGCTGGAGCCCACCAGGAGACGAGCCGCCCGTGGACGGGTCTGGTGGCCCCTTTTCGCTGGGAGGCCGGCCAGCGTGGGCACGGCGCAGCTTTTGGTGCCTCGCTGCTGATCGCGGCTGCTCCCGTGGCTCGCTTCTTCCTAGCGCGGCTCTTGTCCGCGTCTCGGCCCCGCTTTTCATCGCTCATCCCACCTGGGCCTCCTGAAGGCTCCCTTCTCCAAAGGCACCTCCTGCCTGGGGGGCCGTGTGGTCCAGGGCGGGGCCTGCCTTTGTGGTGACCCCTGCTAGCAGCTGCAGGGAGAGAGCTGGTGGGGGCCCCGGGCTGCCCCTCTGGCCCGCTTCGGCTCGGTCTGGCCCCAGCCTGCTGAGAGGGGGCTCGGTGTCCAGCTGCCACTGAGAGAGAAGCGACCCCGTCCTCCAGCTTGTCCACAAGGCCGCCGGGCCCGTTGCTTTTTGGGTCCGGGTGCCTCGTTTTGCCTGGGTGGCCAGAGAGCCCCATTCTGCCCTCCGTGCGGCCGGCTCCCCCTGTGGCGGGCAGGGGGAGAAAAGCGGGGGGGGGGGGAATCCGTCAAGAGGGGCTAAACATAACCCGTGGGAGAAACAAGGGGCAAGAGAGGGAACGCTGATCAGCTGCTCCGGTGGAACCCAGAGGACCCACAGCCCTCGGAGCTGCTGAAATGGCCGAGCCCCCCCACCGTTCAAAGTGGGGGGTTGCGGCTTGGCCGCCGAGGTCCTGGCCTCTCTCTCCGCAGGAGGGCCCCTTCTCCACGGGGGAGGCCCAGCCAGAGGGAGCCGAGCTGGGCCCCCGCCCGCGGGGCTGGCGACTGCGCGCCCCACGGAGGCCGGCGAGCGCCCCGCGCCGCCACGAGGGCGCTCCCGGTGGCTCGGAGGGGGCGGGGGGGGGGAAGGTTGGCCTCGAGGGCGCTGAGGAAGGGCGCCCGTACCTGCCTGGCTGCAGCGTCTGCGGCCGGTGGGCTGAGCGGCGAGCGGGCGCGGGCAGGCCGGCTGCGCCGAAGCACGGCACCCGCGGGGGCTCCGTCGCCCCCATTTTCCCTCCGGCCTTGGGGCGCACGCACCAACTGAGCGATTAATGCGGATGGGTCACCCCAAGGCCTCCCCCTCCAGCCCCAAACCGCCGGGCGGTGCGCCCTTTACGGAGAATGCGGCCCCCTCGGGGGCGCCCTGCCCTGCCCTGCCCTCCTGCCCCCAGCCGATCCCCTCCTGCCCCACGAGCACCTGCAGGCTCGGGGAAAGGCGCCCCCGCCGGAATCCCCTTCAGCCCACGTGGGGGACGCTCCCGTGCGCTTGGCCGTGCGGCGCGGGGCCGGCGTGGATCGAGGACTGCGCGGGTGGCGCGATCCGCAGGACGCCGGCCGGCCATGGCGTGTCCCGCGCAGCTGTGCCGGGCGTGGCCAGGCCCGCGCGCCCCGTGGGGACTCGGCCGGCCGCGGGTGGGCCCAGCACGCTGCTCTCCCGCCCCTGCAGACGCGCCCGCCGTGGAGCCGGCCTTCCTGGAGATCCGGCAGGGCCAGGGCCGCAGCGTCGCCATGAGCTGCCGCGTGCTGCGCGCCTACCCGACGCGCGTGCTGACCTTCGAGTGGCGCCTGGGCGGCAAGCTGCTGCGCACGGGCCAGTTCGACGCGCAGGACTCCACCGAGCTCGTCATCCGCAGCCTCTCCCGCGACAGCTACGGCGCCTACAACTGCAACGTGATCAACGAGGCCGGCGCCGGCCGGTGCAGCTTCCTCGTGACAGGTAGGCCCGCGGGCGCGGGGGGGGCGCGGGTGGGCGGGGCGGGGGGCAGCCCTCCCTTCGCGCGGGGAGCGGGGCTCGGCGCTGCAGGCCTGCCCGGGTGCGGGCCGACCCGGCTCCCTGCACTGCCCCGCACCGGACGCTTGCTCTGCACTCGCGGCCTGCTCTTCGCTCCGCTCGCCTTGGGACTGGGCCCAACCCGGGGGATCGGGGGCGCCCCGCCCCCGCCGAGGGCTGCCCGTGGGGCGTGCGGGGCGCCCGGGCCGCTCCTCTCCCGGCGCACCTGGGCCGCGCTACGCGCCCCAGAATCATGCGAATGAGCGAGAGGCCACGGAGGCAGAGAGGCCGGGGCAGAATCGCACGGGGGGTGCCCGGGGGCGAGCAGAGCGTGATCAGCAGCGAGTCCGGGATCCCCAGGGGGCACGTACCTGCCAGCGTCCACCGGGAGGGAGGCACCTGGCCCCTTGCGCCCCGTTTCCTCTGCCTCGCCCGGCGGCTCTCCGGACCCGGCACGGTGAGCGGCAGGCCAGGCCGGCAGGCGCTCGGCCGTCCCTCACAAGGTCTCTGGTCCAAAACAGAAAGCTTGCAATCCCAAATCTTTTAGGGGCAAGTGCACCCCAAGCTGCAGGTACCAGTGGAAATGAAGCTGAAATGGCCTGGGAGCAGGTCACTGGGAGAACTTTGCACACAGCTGTTTGTTTGAAAGCCCCGTCCTTAATGTGGCTTCTCTGCCGCATAATAGCCCAAGTTCTCTGGGCTGTTGACAAGGGAACAGTGTAGCGTCCAGTCAGCTGCCCAGAGAGCTTCAGCTAAGGGCAGTATATAAATTAAATAGATAATGACAATAAACGAGCAATGCCGTTTCAATACAACACACAGTCTTTTAAAATGGATTTTTAAAAGCTGCCATAGCTTACGCAAATTAGAGCCTGAGAGCTGTTTGTTTATTGATTAAAAGCTTTTATAGGCCGTCCACTACAAGCGGGTGTGTGTAACGGGCATGTGTCCAGCGGCACGTTAAACTGATTGTGGTAGAGGGCAGTGCGCCTGGCACCCGCCACTGAGAAGGGCCTCCTCCTTGTCCCCACCCACGAAGCCTTCTTCGGAAGGCGGTCCGTCAGGGATTGTCACCCCAAGCCACGTGGGGCTTGCAGGTGTGAGCCAGCACCTTGAATCGGGCTTGGGAGCATCTGGTGGCCAGGGCAAGCGGGCCAGAGTGGGCCTGCTAGTTTGGACCATCCGGTCCCGGTCGTTAATCTGGCTGCCGCATCGCACCATCGTCAAGGGCGGCCCCGTGTGGCGTGCCCTGCAGCGCTCCAGTGTAGCGATCGCCAGAGCGTGGACGATGGAAGCGGGCTCTCCCTGGCCAGGTGGGGCGTGGCCGGACAGCTCCGTGCCACTGAGGCCACCTGGGCCTCAGGTGAGCAAGGCCACGCCCCTTCTCCAGCCCTCCTGGGACAGGTTGGAGTCCCTCCCTCTGGGTGGAAGACCCGCCCTCCCGCTGCATCTCTGTCTTGCTTGCACGGAACGTCAGGTCGAACTGAAAAAAACCTCTGCATATTTAGAGCGAGAGAAAATAATCAACATTTCTGAATGGACCGAACTGAAGACGGGAAAAATCGGAAACCAGGGGAAGCCAAAACTGGCAAGGTTGTTCATCCCCCCGTCCCCACCTGTCTAAATGTGGCCGCAGGGGGGGCAGCGTGGGGCAGACTGGCAGAGGAGGGACCGCTCCCCAGAGCGCCCTGCAGCAGCAGGGGCCCACCCCGCCCCTCCTCGTTGCCAGGAACGGCCCCGAGGCCCCCGCGTGTGTGGTGGCCGGGGGCAGAAGGGCGCTGGCGGCTTCCCTTCCCCACACCGCACGTGCCGCTCACACGAGGATCCTTGCCAGGGCAGGCTGCCAAGTCATCAGAACCCAGCCAAGTGGGCAGCCGGGGGCACTTGGAACCCCACGGAAACCCGGGGACAAGCACTGAGGGTGGCTGGTGCAGCAGCCCAGGCCCCACAGGGGGCATTAGGCCAGTGGGGCTGCTTGCCCTCCCCAGGTCATGTGGGCCCAGCCACAAGCTTGCAGGGGGGAGCGGGGGGGGCTTGCCTTGCTGGGGGGGGTTCGCATCAGAAAGCACAGAAGGCTCAGTGCTGGGCCAGCCCCCCCCACCTGCCCTTCAAAGGCTCCTCATTTTCAGAATTTTGGAGACATGCTCCTGAGTTGAGGCCTACCTTGCCGGCCTCACCCGGAGGAGGCTGGGGGTGCTGACGGGCTTGGGGGTGCAGTCCCAAGGCCCCCCGGCGTCGCACAAGGCCCTCCGCCTGCCAGGCCGGCATCCTCCCCACCTCCTCAGGTGAGAGCCAGAGGCTGGGAGCAGTTCCACACCTGCTCTCCATTGCGCGATCCGAGGACAGACACGCTCCGTTCCTTCGTGTTTAGAGGGAGGGACTTGGCCGCCACAGGCTTCCCTGGAAGGGCTGCTCCCTGACCGACCCCCAGCTCGAGCAAACCCCAGTCCCCCCGTGTCAGGGGGGTAGCCAGAGCCCCCGGAGAGGCGCTGGCGGGGGGCCTCCTCGTTCTCTGGGGCTGCTCCTGCAAGCTTTGCTCAGCCCAGGGAGGGAGAAGCCACAGACCTTCTTGCGGGAGGAAGCAGGTGGCATCACCTACCCGGGGACCCCCCCCCACACACACACACACACACAATGGGCCATTTTCCTAGGTGGCCTCACAACCTTCCAGGCCCCTAGTCCAACTGTTGATTCAGGCAGGAAGTCCAGAGAAGAGCACCTCCAGCCGACGACGGGGCAGCTCCGCCTGAAGCTCCCCAGAGAAGCAGGCCCCAGCGCCTTCCTGGCCCTTGGTTCCATGCGCTTTCCTCACGACCTTCCCGCTGAGTGTCCCCGCTCCTCTACCCAAAGCCGATTCGGGACGGCTCAGATGCAGCCCTCACGGTTGCACCTGCTTGCAGAGCCTGGCCGGAGTGGGAAATGAAGGGAACTGGTCGGAGGACCCTTCCCGGTCGGGTCTTCCTGGGGGCTGCCTCCCTCCAGGCAACCCCAAGAGATGCTTGCTCCTTCCCCTCATCACAACTCATTTCACCCGCAGGGCATGCCCTGCGTCAGCACAGAAGACTGAATGGGGACTGGAAACTATTAGGGATATAACTACATACAGAGAGAACACATTACACAAACATGCACACAATTCTTGGATGGCTTTTGTTTTCTTTTTGGCACCCATTCCTGTATGAATAAAGCAATCTTGGAGCCTCTGCCGGCAATTTGAACACCTCAGTGGTTTTATTGCATTGCAAAATTGAAAAAGGGTATTGAAAAACATGAGATCCTGGACACAGGAAGGAATGTAGAGCAAGGTTAGAACAACGCCCACGGTGCAGGCCACCCAGGGTGCCCGGAGAGGGCTCTGGAGGTCGCCGGCAGCCTGGGGTGTCCCCCCCCCCCCGGGTTTAGATCATGCTTCGCTCGGGGGCCTTGGGGACCTGGTCCCGTGCAGGCTGAGCGCTGGCCAGCAGCGAGCGGGGCACCGTCTCTCCCCACCAGCAGATGTTCCTTTAATGCAACGACCGGCAGGTCGGATGCTGGAGAAATCCGCAGCGGATGCAGATGGGCCCCTGAGTTTCTGTGTCATGCAAGTTCTCCGGACTTGTGGACCATTTTTTCATATTCTGTCACTTTAAATAAATTCAGTCATAGGAATCGTGAATAGGGAATGTATCACAGCAGTCTGAACAAATCAGAAATCTGAACAGATAAATTTAGCAAACATTGGCCAAAAGAGCATATTTCTCCCATAGAATAATCGCAAAAGGAACCCGCCGTTTCCAGCGTCTTGTTCAGAGGCGCAGGATAAATTCAGAGAAGAGAGACTTCCCAGGGCTTGGCTTCTCTAAAGACCCCCTTCCTTTGGAAAGCGGTGGGAGGGAGCCATGTCTCCTTGGCATCCCGGCTGGCCCCAGAGCTGCAAAAGCTCCACTGCAGGGCATTTCTGACCCGCCTTCTTTCCTCCTGCGAGGAGCCCCACTGGGAGCTCGCACAGTCTTCCTCCCCTCCAGCTCATCCTCACAACACCCCTGTGAGGAAGGCTCACTTGCGAGTCCGTGACTTGCCCAGAGATGCCCAGTGAGCCCCATGGCTGAGCAGGGACTGGAACCCAGTCCGTGGCTCACCCGCGACGCCACGCTGGCCTCCCTTTGAACGGGGTTTGGTGGGCGAGGTGCATCTCAGCGCAGGGAATTGCGTGGCAAAGGGTGGGGGCATTGGAGCACAGTGTACCAATGTGCTTTTAAAATCCAGACACCATCTGCAAAAGCGAGAACCGAATAAAGAGCTGAAACGGTTTCCGTAGCAAGCGAGCCCTGCAGAAACGGCTCACCCGCCTCACGACAGGCCATCACATGCCTTGACGCCTGGCAATGGAAAGAGATCAGTGTTGGCCTTGCCTTTGTTCAGGGCTTCTGTGGGGAAATTCTTCCAGAAGTGGGGAGACACCACAAAGAAGACCCTCTCCTCTACTGTCACCCCGAGAATCTGCCCCCCAAAAATTATGGGGGGCAGTAGGCATATGATTACATTGAGAAAATGATTTATACTCCTCTCTCTTCCCAATCGCCCCAAAGCCAGATTCCAGCTACACATCAGGACGAATTCCCCGGCTGTTGGAGCAGAAGGGCCATGAAGCCCGTGGCCTTTCCCTCTTCTGGGTTCTCCCACGCCAGAGGCCTTCACAGGGTAACTGGACAGCCCTCTAAAGGGAATGGTTTAACTGGGAGTCCTCCACTGAGCAGGGGCTGGACCCAGTGGCCCTCCAGCCCCTTCCGGCTCTTCTGTTCCATGATTTTATTGTTATCTGGCTCAGTTGATTGATGCGAAGCAGAACTTGGTGGAGCAGGAGAGGTGGGTCTTCAGGTGTTCCATGCCAATTTTCAGGTAGGAAGGTGAGGAAGAGTCACCTGTGACGGCTTATGTGGAAGAGTCTATGGTTCAGGAGTATTTTG